AAAAAAAAAGGGACAAAATATAGTTCCTGGTTCTTGAATTCAAGGTTTTGTATTTTTTCACATCGTTTATCATGAATTTAGACCTCAACATCGTATAATATAGGTGATATTACTTTAATAATCTATTTTGATAGATTTTTTTCCTTAAAATTTTATATATACATTTCACATATATCATGTCACTTTTGGAATAATGTATTAGGTAGAATAGTAGATGTGAAATCAAAATTTTCACTTAAAACTTGTATTTTCATTTTTAGAGTTGATCTCTTGTTTTCAGCGAATAGGATAAAAATTTCATATTGTTGACATGGTAAGAAAATCTTAATTATGTTCTTTGAAATTAGAATAGTGTTATTCATAATAAGGACTATCGTAATCGTCGCACGTGATATATATGTGGTAATTTGCTATTTGATCCATTAATGTGAGAGTCAAATATGTCACGTATGGTGACACTAGTAGTTCTCACTATAAATAGTATTATTATTAAGTTTATGATTGTTTCATATAATCATAACTAAGATTCTCTTGGCAAGTTAACGGTGAGAATTTTTTATTTTATCGATTGAGGCAGAAGATGAGGACGGTTTACATTTTAACGTATCTATCTCTCCACAAATTCGCGTAGAGAAAGAGGAAATTAACAAATAGAAAAGGCAGACAGTTTCATCATTTCCCACAGTTCAATGCTTCCTTAGTCCATCATTTTCAGCAAGACAACAGAGGAAAGTGAAGAAGCAAACGTTAGACATGGATAACAACAAAAAAAAACCCTCTTTGTCTCACACACTCCACGATCAACTGTTTATTAATTTTTTTCTAACCTTAAAGGTTGGTGAGCTAATTGTTTAACTTAAAGATAAACAATAAATGTGGAGTTTATTTTTAATGTGGCTAACACTAAAAATAAGTCAACAGTAACAATAAATTTGAAGTTTATCTTTAGAATAAATCACCCAAAACATACTTTTTAAGCATTCTTGGGCCGAGAGAGCTGAGCTTATTAACAAGTTGAAAATTGTAATAAAATTTCTATTTCTAAATTATTTTTCATGTTACTCTTTTTCTTTTAAGTTTCACACGAAACATGCAAAACAAATATTACAAGAAATTTCATCTTTATAGCAAAATTTATGATTTTTATTTTTATGTTTTGTTGGAGTAGATCATTATTTGATTCTGGATAGTTAAAAACTTTTCAAGATAAAAGTTTTATTGTTAAAATGAAATTTATTAGAGGGCAATAAGTATTAAATTATGATTTACAAAATAAAGATACATACAGTATATTTATATATAAATTAATAAAAGGTGGGTAATCAGTTTGTGTTTTGATGTGTTTAAAAAATTTTCTTCTATTTTTAACACACTTTTAAAAAAAAAATTATTATTTTAAAATACATTTTTAAAAAAATATCATTAAAATGGAGTCCAAACAAGAACTATGTTTATATATATAAAATAATAAAAAGTGGGATTCAGCTTGTGTTTTGATGTTGGTGACACAGTGATTTGGACTTGAAAGCACGCATCTTTTCATGTCTGTTGACATTGATGGTTGATATGTCACTTGCCTTATTCATGTCTATTCCAATTTGACCCCTTTATTTTCCTGTCTCTCTCTCTCTCCCCCTCCTTCTACCTTGTCAACTTATGTGCACTGAACTTGAATATAACTCAGTCTTAAACACTAAAACAAACATAAACACAGAGAGACAGAGAATTTAAAGGGGAGGAAAAAATGGCTTCTTTGGAAGGTGAAGTCTTAATAAAGAAGGCAATGTGGATGTATCCAAAAGTGGCTGGTGCCAATCCTTCTGAGAGATGGGGGCATTCTGCTTGCTATTATAATGGATTAATCTACATATTTGGGGTAACATAACTTTATTTATTTTTTATTTTTTTTTCCTTTATACTTTTCCAAGATTTTGCTTGCATGAAGATATGATTCTCCCCCCCCCCCCCCCCCCCCCCCCCCCCCCCAATTTTTCCCCCCCCCCCCCCCCCCCGGGCCATCTCTCTCTCTCTCTCTTTATATTCAAAGTTGGTTCTTATGGTTAATTTTGGCATGAAAACAGTATCACTTTCTTCGATGGAATTTAGTTTTTACCATATTTCGTGATTTGGGTTCTCTTATAATCTATAGGGGAAAATAAAAAAGCTTTATGAAGAAACGTTTTGCAAGTTTCTCCTGTTTTCATTTTAAGTTGCACTTTATTCATCTGCCACCCCCATCCCCACTTCGTGATTTAAGTGGATGGTCCAATCATATAGAACTGTGTTGCTGAAGTATTTTTTTTTTTTTCCCCAAGAAACCAGTAAAGTTTTTTGGAATTTTTGGTCCATTATCTTTTTCTTAGCTGCTGCAGGCATAACAAACCTGAGTTTCTTTATTCTGATTAGTTTTGCTTAAGATATCTAAAGGTTCGGCAATGCAATTGTATTTTTCCTTCATTTTTTTTATTTTTTATTTTTTGGGTAATTAGTTCCATCATGGTTTTGTATAATTTCTTTCTTTGTATGTTTGGAATACCTTTGATTTGTAGTTTGCAAAAGAGGCAGTTGGATAAGTTATCTACGTTTGCTGGTATATTATATAACCTCAAATAATGGTTAGGTTACTTTTTCCCCCTCTTATGTTTAATTAATATATGTAACATATTGAAAGTAGTAACTTTTTTAGTAATTTATTTCCAATATTGAACAGTATTTTTTCTTATAATTAATTCTAAAGCAATCTTAACTATTACTTATAAGTAAAGCTTTTACGCTTAACCAAACATGATGCACTAACATAATGACAGGAAAGACAATGCTGTATGATGTTAATTTGTTGTTCTGGTAAACATTACTGGTTCTACAAAGTGAGCGGCCAGTAGATAGAATTTTAACTCTCTTTCTTCAATGCGTGGACCCTACAAAACATGTATTAAAAGTATAAATAAAGCCACTTGTACAATATTTATGCACAACTTGGATGACAATAAGTGTGTTGAAAAAATTTTGGCTATTGATTTTAAAACAGTTTTTCAAATAAATGGATATAATTTTTACCAACTCATGAATTGTAAACCAAGTTGTAAAAGAAATTGTACAAGAAACATGATTCTAAAAGTACTGTTCAATACTTAAAACAGTAACTTTTTCAACCTTTTTTTTTTTTTTTTTTTTTAAATTTAGCACTCAAATATAAAGAAGTATATACTTACTGGATTTGGAACCAGCCAGCATAGACATATAGCATCTCCAAGAGAGTCTTTAAAGATAAAGAAGCACTCTATTTTAATATTTTAACAAATCAACTATTAAAATTATTCTCTTGGAGATGTTCTAATATTGGCATCTCAATTGGTAAACGATTTTTTTAGAAGTAACTGGTAGTATTTTCTATGTTTGCTTCTACATTTGAGCATTGGAGAGTGAGAAGTCTTGGTTTTTCGCTTTTGTGTAAAATTAATATGGCATTGAATCAACAGATTGATTTCATATAAATGCTTAATTTTCTCTTATCTTATTTATGTAAGGAGAAGTTTATTTCCCATCAGAACTATAAGGAAAAGGTAGTGAAGACAACTATATAATTTAGGATTCACATTGTCAACAAGGCAATGCTTGAAACTTCCATAACTTATCATTGTACTGCGAATAGTATTCGTGGAAGTAATGCTAATTATATATCTAATCACTTCTAATCAATTTTCTTCTCTCATTTAGGGGTGTCGTGGGGGAGTGCATTTCAGTGATGTTCTGGTGTGTAATCTCGAGTTGATGACATGGAACATTCTCATGACTACAGGGCAGGGGCCAAGATCACGAGACAGCCACAGTGCCGTACTTGTTGGGCACAGGATGATAGTATTTGGAGGAACTAATGGTTTTAAGAAGGTCAACGACTTGTATATATTAGATCTCCATTCTAGAGAGTGGAGTCGGCCTGAATGCCATGGCAATCCACCTTCCTCTCGTGAAAGTCATACCGCTACACTTGTCAATGACGAGAAATTAGTGATATTTGGGGGTAGTGGAGAAGGGGAGTCAAATTACTTAAATGATTTACATGTTTTGGACTTAAAGACTATGGGATGGACATCCCTCGACATACAGGATAATTTACCTGCGCCTCGAGATAGTCATAGTGCCGTGGCTGTGGGTAACCGTATTTTTGTGTATGGTGGAGATTCGGGTGATCGGTACCAAAGAGATGTTAATGTGTTTGACATGAACACGCTGACTTGGTCTAAGGTACAAACTCCATTCACTAAATTGCTTTTCATTTTAGGCGTGCAAAATAAAGCAAAAGTAACAAATTAAATTATTCAAGAATATTTATAAGGTGATGTTGTGTTCATTTCCTTAACAGCTAGATTGTCATGGTCCATCCCCCGGTGCTCGAGCTGGTCATGCTTCTGTGAGCATAGGGACCAAGGTAAGTATGACATATCTGGCTAAGTTTAGAAGTTAATAATTTTTTAGCCACAAGTTTGATTTTTTCAAAATTTTACTTAATTTTTTTTTTTTTTTTTTTTTTTGGAATTTCTTTCATAAACTTACTTTTCGTGGAAGAATATTTGTACTTACTTTCCAAAAGGCACTTTTACATTTTACCAATCTTAGCCAAACATGCTTTGAAGACAGTTATTTTGTGTTTTTTGCTCTAGTGTTACTTGATGGCAAGAATTTAATTTAGATTTCAGTATCATGGCTGACAACTTATTTTATCGACTTGATGCTCTCAAATCATACTAAGAATGAATTTGCTTTAGATATTCCCGTAGTAATGGCTAGTTTAATGTCCGTGCTCTGCAGGTATATGTCATTGGTGGAGTCAGGGACAAACAATATTACAACGATGTCTGGGTACTTGATGTTATCACATCATCCTGGATTCAACTCGACATTTGTTTGCCAAAACCTCGAGGAAGGTTTTCTCATACAGCCACTGTCACAAACTTGGGCATAGCAATTTTCGGAGGGTGAGAATTTAATAAGATGCACTTTTCATTTCTTATGTCGTCAAACGTTTAGTTTTTCTTATGCATTTTTCTCTGTTTGATGCCTTAACGTTGCAGGTGTGGAGAGGATGAGCGCCCTCTCAACGAGTTGCTTATTTTACGTATAGGAGTTGAACATTCCCGGGGCTATGTCGATTCCTCAACAAGCAGATCTTTTAGAAACTCTGACTACAAAGAAAGAAAAATGTATTTTAGAGAAGCACATAATAATTTGGTAATAGAAGATTGTAATTAAAAACATATTTTGTAAGTTCTGGTTTCTTCAAAGGGATATGCTAATTATGTCAAATCTTTTGCAGCAGAAAAAAGCTTTTTATAGTGAAAAAGAAGATTCAGCTGTGAAGGATGCTGAAGAACTTGAAATCGTCTCAGAATGCTCTTTTCGTTTCAGTTCAGGTAGGTTTTAGCGAACAAAATAATGCTTACATCAATCTTCAATAACACGAAAAATCATGAGTTACTGAAAGTGTCTTCTGTTTCATGGAGATATGTTACATCCTAAGAGGAGGAGAATGAGTAACTCAGTGGCGCATGATATGAAATCCGAACCTGACGAGCACTGTCTTTCGTTCTCACGGAACTTGTCTCCGTCCCAATCTGATCAAGAACTGACCCTAGTTAAAAAAATAAATATTTCTTCCTCATCTTCTCAAGTTCATCCTATATATATGCATCGTATTTCTAATGTTGGCAATTCCCAGCCTAATTATGTTCCTATTAACCGAATGGATCCGCAAAGTGTCATCTCTAGGCCTTCTACTCTTCAGGATGTAAATTTATCTTCAGAACACTGTAGGAATGGAGTTCGTTCTGGTGCATGTGAAGTGCAGTGCTCAGGAACCGAATCCACATCCTCGGAGGCACGAAAATTCCAAAACTTGGTAAGTAAGACCAATTCTGCTAGAGATTCTTTAACCACCAACTCTTCTAATGTCAGTTAGTTATTGAAATATTTTGTTTGAAATTTTCATCCCTAGATTGGGGCTGAAGTTCATGGTCAAGTTGACGGCGCATTTGATTCTGGTTACCTAATGACTGCTAATGTTAATGGAATGATTTTTCGAGGAGTTCTGTTTACTCCGGTAAGCTTCCACACTTGGAACACCCCACCCCAATTCAATTCAATAATGTCAACCCTAATAATTGGAATTTTTCATCAAGGCACCTGAACTTGTGGCACAAGGTGCCATTCTTGGTCAACACCCAACATCCTTAACATGCCAAACCGTAAATGATCACACCAAAAATCACGGAACCATTCCTTATTCAAGGCATCCTCAGCAGCAAACAAAAGTGGTTGGTCGAGAATCTCATCAGAGCTTTGGACGAGAATCTCATCAGAGCTTTGGACTAACTCAATCTAGAAAATCGATCCCGAAAGCTGGAACTCCTTTAACGATGAGCAAAGATTCGGTGCTTAAAAGTGAACTTCAAGGTGTGGTCCTAACCCTGGGAGGTCCAGGAAGCGATGATGGCAGGTCTAAGGTACAATAACACTAAAATATAATATGAAGAATGGATATCCAAAATCATTTCCCTCATTTCTGATAGTTTTGTACATTTTTTTCATGGATAAAGTAGATGGGACTGTACTAAATAAAGGAAAAAATGAGCTAAAATCTTATCTATTGTAATGTCTAATACAGTCTAATATTACAGACTATATATGGAGTTTATGCATTTGGAAACAGCTTCCTTTTTGCCAGTTTTAGAGTTTTGAGAGTGTATTGGCTTCACTGAATTCTGAATGTAGTAGAAAACCATGAAATGAAAGCTTCTCACTACCTTATGAGTTGAGTTATTTTTATTTTCTCTTGTTTTTAAGTGAATATTGAAGGATGATTCTAAGGGAAACTCCTCTATTAGGCTGCAACAGCCATCAAAGAGATCTATGGAAGTCTGTTCTGATGCAGGAGACTGCAAATATTTAGTTGGAATGTTTTTTTGAGTAATTTTTAAGCTTTTATATGATTTGATTCGAATACGCGGCTGCTCTCTAACATTGAACAAGCTCATTTTATTTCTTCATCGAAATTAGTGTCTACATTAATTGATTCTTGAATGCTACTTGTAGTAGACTTGTAGCCAAAATCAGTTTTGCAATCGATTTCATGTCGATATATAGTACCAGAGGCGGACCCACTTGAGGCCGAGTGGGGTCGGC